TAACCATCTGAGCCACCCAGGCGCCCCTGCACTGTTAGGTATTTAACCCAAAGATACAGATGTATTGAAAAGAATGGGCACATGTTCCCCAATGTTCATAGAAGTAATGTCCACAATAGCCAAACTGTGAAAGTAGCTGAGATGCCCTTCAACAGATGAAATGAGAAAGAAGATGTGGTTCTTTTATACAATGGAATATTACTCAGCCATCAGATCGAATGAATACCCAATTTTTGCATCAACATGGATGGAACTGGAGGGGATTATGCTAAGTGAAATAAGTCAAGCAGAGAAAGATAATTATCATATGGTTTCATTCATATGTGGAACATACGGAATAGCATGGAGGACCATAGGGGAAGGGAGGAGAAATTGAAGGGGAAGAAATCACAGCGGGAGACACGAGAGATTCTGGACTCTGGTAAATGAACTGAGGGTTATAGAAGGGAGGTGAGTGGGGGGATAGAGTAACCGGGTTATGGATACTAATGGGGCACATGTTGTGATGAACACTGGGTGTTATATGCAATAATAAATTGTTGAATGGTACATGAAAAACTAATGATGTACTACGTGTTGGCTAAATGAACACAATAAAAAATAAAAATAAAAATGGAAAACATGAACAAACTTTTTTCCAAAAAATAGGTACAGATGGCCAACAGAAACATGAAAAGATGCTCAATAACACTGATCATCAGGGAAATGCAAATCAAAATCACAATGAGCTATCACCTCACACCTGTCAGAGTGGCTAAAATGAGAAAGACAAGAAAGAACAGGTGTTGGTAAGGATATAGAGGAAGGGGAAACCTCCTGCTCTGTTGGTGAGAATGTAAATTGGTGCAGTCACTGTGGAAAACAGTGTGGAGCTTCCTCAAAAAATTAAAAATAAAAATGCCATATGAACCAATAATTCCACTACTAGGTATTTACCCAAAGAATATGAAAACAGTCATTCAAAAAAGATATATGCACTGTTATGTTTATAGCAGCATTATTTGCAATAGCCAAGATATGGAAGCAACCTAAGTGTTCGTTGACTGATGAATAGATAAAGAAGATGTGGGGGGG